GCCACTACACTACTCTCCCACCAGAATCAACGTGACGTTGGATAGATACCGATTTGAGTGGGGTTGTCGCGCGCCGGAGGTTACCAAGAATAATAAGAATCCTCCGAGTATTGATAAGCTGAATCCGAGTTACCTGTTTATATTACTAATGGTAATTTAAATATATTCGTGTACATAATGTTAATTTTAATAATAGGCTTCGGAGATTTAATTTTAGATATTTGTTTGTCGAACAGTATGAGAGTTTACTTATTAAATTAGTGCAGTACGATAATACCCAGATTTGGTGACTTTATTATCCCTTATATGTTCGTCTTTTTAGGCGACTAATACACTAGACCAATTCATAGACGCAAATACGTATAGCAGTATTAACTACGACGGGTTGAAAATGTTAAAGGAGATTCAGATGATTTTTAAATTTATAAGGTATACAGATATAATGCAATGCATGTACGGGAAAGATTAACATGCAGGGCCAAAATGAAAAATATATTTTTAAATCGGGATGACTTATGGAATTTCAGTTAGGAATATGATGAGTTACAAAGTTTACATAAGACGTCGCTGCAGTTAACCTAGTGATATTTATAAATGTGTGGCGAAGGCAACTAAAAATAAGAAATGCCTTCAAACAGCATGTTTTCTTAGTAGAATGTTATAGTATAAAGGTGTTAAATATTTCTACTTAGTCCTGGGAGTGGCTTGTATGAAATATATACAACCAGTCTGACAGAAAAAACCTATATAAGTTAAGAAGTACTTAAATCACAGTAAATGGACCAGGAAAGGGAAAAAGAGTGAAACTTGCTTGGGTTATTTTTTTCACGTAATGATGATGTATATTAGACAGTAATTCGAATCTGGATAATACACGAGGTACTGTCGATTAAATTCTTGAATTAACCCAGCACTGAAAACTGGATTTGTATAAGTCCAAAATTAATTGGAGCCAAATATGTTGCATAGCCTGACGAAGAATTAGATCCAGATAACTGTTTAGTGCTTGCATACGTTGCTAGTCAATGTATATTTACTTTATTTACGGGTCATATTTGCTAGAGCTTGATGTTTAAACAAATTTATTTTGCAGTAACAAATGTTGAATGTCTATTTTCTATATTGTTTCGTGTTGGGGCCCAATGCCACTACAAGTCCATCCATCTTGTGGAATACCTTTAGGAAAACTAGTGTCGTCACATGGCTCACTTTTATGTACTTTAGTGCGCAAAACAGCCGGAAATAGAAATGTTGTTATGCTTTTTGATGACAGTTAGGATCCGTATCTTATCGGACGTTTTTGGATCTGCAGACTCATCTAGATCTACAGAGTGACCTACCGGTTGTGGAGTGACGTAATGCTTATTGTTCATGATCTTTAAACTATTTGCTGTGTTGCAAACTGTATATAGTCGGTTATTTGCTTTAACACAATCATGTAAGCCTTTTGCCTCACGTCTTCTTACACGACGTTGACAGGGCTTTAGGTCTGGAGTGACTTTTGTGCTGTTGTATGGAATTATTGAGCTTATACTTTTGTTCGAATCAACAAATTGTTGAACATAATTATAACAGCTAAACTTAAACAGGATGGGCATGTCGATCTATCCAACTTTTTCTAAGACGGATGACTTGGCGGCCGACATTCAGCATACCGCATGAGCTAAGACAAATATCCCTTAACTTATTTTGATGTTTGGTCAGACAGACTGTATGAAACTGCACAGTAGGATGAAATCACTCTTCGTCAATTCTTTAGCTACAAGCTTTAAAATGCATTCAGCTTTGGTGATTTGTCCAAGATTTTTATCAGTATTAAGACCTCATATGTATGTGAGGGGTGTTAACTGGTTAAATCTACCATTAATTTCGGCTAGAGAGTTTTGTAACTGACGGATATCAGTATTATATCCATCAGTATTTCCGTATGTGCGAGATAAACCATTAAACATTTTGGTTTTTGAAATTTTAGATTTAGGCCTCAGCAAAACATGCTGTCATGCGGTTCACATGCTGCACGGAGAGATGGAGGGGTTTTTACGCGGAGAACCAGATAGTGGTAGTGTTCTTTGTGGACAAGACTCATAGGGTTCAAAATATAAGGGTTTAACATTGTCAGGTACTGAATCATCAGCCACAGGGGTTACAGATTTTGACCTTTTAGTTGGCTCAGAAGTTGGTGAAATTCCTCTTTTACTAGTCTTACTTGCTATAATTTGAAGCTGGGTGAGTAGAAAGCTCGCTTAATTAAATAGAATATCTGAGTATCTAGTTATTATTAGTATTGACCAGGGTGATATTAAGATCAATGACTGTGAGTGTATAGTTTATTTCAAATATAAGGTGTTCAGTTATTACATGAGAAAGTAAAGATCAAGTCAATAATAATATTTCAACTGGTACAATTCAAAGGTGATGATGAGTCACTGTCAATCACTGGGGGCTTATATAAGATATGTAGGAAACGAAGTCCACGATATGTATGCATTAACCGGTAAGTGTCCCTCAAAATTGTTTTTCTGTGATAAAATGTACCAAATATACAAGATAGGATAATAATCTCAGTGAAATGCAGCCTACAAAAGAACAAGTCGAAAATTTTCTAAATAACATAAAAAATGTTACCACTTTCAAATTTGGTCGGTCTCATTAACGTTGTACTACAGTCTAACTTGGTATTAGTACTATAATAATAAACCTTATCCCAAAGCTGTAGATTTGTCATGATATAACTACCTAATCTAGAAGATCTTATGTGATAATCACATGATTTTTTATACTGACTTCTCCTATCGTGATAGTTGGCACAATGTTTAACACTTCTGAAGGACGTGGTTCGGCTGAGCATAGAATAATGTATTTGATATGAAGAGGAATAGGCTACATGATGACCACGCCTGGGTGGTCAAGCCGGGCCATACCGATTAAGTGTTCAGGCGTGTACTGTCCCTGACCTTCTCTATAGCTTTATATCTTGTATGAAACCTCTTCACTTATCCTGTGTTCGGCTTCAAGAATCGTGTGGTTGAGAATCAATACCAATACAGAAGAACAAGTAACAACAGGTCGGAAAGAAAGATACCCTATCAAGATGCTGAAGGAAGCTCTTATTAAGTGTGGGAACTATGGGGGGATCATACTGCTATCAGTACTAGGCAACGCTTTCAACAGTGTTGTTGAACCGAATGAGATTCAGTAGACGCCCAGCTTCGAGACCAACAAGAAGGATACCTCAACCAACCAAATCGGAAACTACAGATCACTGTTGAATAATCATTTGAACGGAACTCATCACAATAGACCAACTTCCTTGACTGCGCGAAACATTTGACTGGATGGAGAGGAAAACTTTATGAAACCTTTCCCCACACCATTGTCAACGTTATACAAAATTCTTACGACAGACTAAAATGCAAAGTTGTGCGTAGAGGACAGCTGACAGACGCGTTCCGAGGGAATACCAGTGTCAGACAAGGCTGATTACCCTCGTCATCCCTCTTTCTTCTAGTGGTTGACTGGATTAAAGAAACCTCCACATGTCAGGGAAAAACACAGGAAGCGGTGTACAGCCCGTATGAGGTTAAACCTTTTAGACTTTCGGAATGATCTGGCCCTTCTATATCAAATGTAAGTGGACTCATCCAGTGTGACATCAGTCTCTGCAGCGGTGCATTTCGACATATAAAAGGGCAAAGGAAAATCCTATAATGAAGCACAACTAGCACCAAACAAGCCGAATTTGATTGAGAAGTCCTGATAGAGGTGGGCGTTTCCACACACCCGAGTAGCATCATCGATAAACAAAGAGAATTTGATGCAACTATAAAGGTATGGATTGGCGAAGCAAGGGCAGTATCCCCGCAGTTGAAGAATACCTTGAACTCAAAACAACTGCCAGCCAACAACAATGACAGAATTTTCAATACGAATGTCAAAACATTTAAGTCGTATATGGGTGAAACTTGGAGATCTACGACAATCACCGTCAAAAAGGTACAAATATTTGGGAACAGATGTTTACGCTAGATATCTGTTGCGAAGACACCATCGACAATAACCTACTGTGACATAGAACAACTGAAGAGAAAATCAGGAAAAGGCGCTATCGTTAGATGGAACAAACCTTCTAGTAATCGTCAAACTACATCATGAGACAAGCCCTGACTTTGAATTCTTGGGGTAAAAGGAAAAGAAGCAGATCAAAGAACACATTGCGCCGGGAATTGGAAGTAGATATCAAAAGAATGAACAGCACTTAAAAGGAACTGGGAGCGTTGGGTGGGGAATCCTATTTGGTTGCCTATGCTCCTGGAAAAGTAACACGAGTGAAAAAGTTATAGGCAATGAACACTTTTACAACATTTAAGTTTGATCATCTTGAACTCACCGCTTCCTGATGTGTATATAAAACATCGGGGCTAAAGAACCAATAATTTTACGGGTGTTTGACCTTCGTCCCTAACTGTACGTGTTACCGTTAGGCTAAATTGTCAGTCTCACACTTAGGTTCATCCATAAATGCTTAATGTGTTGTTTATTAACTTTCCATCTTGTCCTATTTTTCAAATTCCCTCACCCGTATATGCGCTTGTAAGCTTACGCTGCTCAACTGAGCAGCATATGCTAGCATGCTCTTGCGATATATATCGCAAGGCTAGACTCAGACCACTGCATATTTGGGTCTCACTATGGGATTAACTCCAAAGTCACTCCTAGGTATCTGTTAGGGCTTCACACCGATTTATATAAAATAAAGAACTACAAAAATTATCAGACCGCACCTGTACGGGTAATGTAGAATCTCTGGAATGGTAATTTCAGTCATCCAGATTACTGTAGACATTAGTATCAAAACCTGACACAATTTGTGATAGTTAAAACTATCGGAAGCTTTTTAAGATGATGTTACATATGATTGATATAACCATCTAGTGTTCTAAATAACAATGAATTTTATTTTTTCCAGGTTCTAACAGTCATCTAACAGAAGGGAGCTTAGAATGTTCTTCCTGTATTCCGGATCAAAGATTTTGGGAGCACAGACAATTACTAAGAATATATGTAAATTCTTGGGTACTACAGTTGAGCCTATTGTGAAGCCAGAAATAAAGCGAAACTCGGTATATTTTGATTTCTGAAGTGTAATCTGAAGTTTAAATTAGATTTTCATCAACAATGAGTGGGTAGAGTCATCTAGTGGGAAGACCTTCAACACTATAAATCCAGCAACTGGTAAAGTGATATGTCAAGTTTCGGAAGGGGATAAGGTAATGCCTGTCTACCTTTGGTATTTCAGAATTTTCCATTTTTAAACTAAAGAATGTATATATCTTAATGAATGATCACTTCTTTTTGTTTAGGAGTACTTCCTAAGTCACTTATTTGCTCATGTTAAGTTATATGACTTATATAAACGGTATCTCTCATATATATATATATATATATATATATATATATATATATATATATATATATATATATATATATATATATATATATATATATATATATATATATATATATATATATATATATAAAGATTCTTCCCGTCACTAGTCCTCGGTTAATGAAGAAAGTATTTCTTTCAGTAAGACATCTGATTCCATCTAGTTATAACTGTCTATTTATAGAAATGTAAACCTTCATATTTACTTATTTGAACATAAATATTGGTACAAAGGGGCACCGAATGTATATGTGCCACACAAGCCACTTGATTTGTGATTAGGCTGTGATACTGCCTGGGTTCCCGGACTGGTGCAGGTGGTTTCCTTAGGGGGCCGCACTCGGAGTCTTTGACGTAAGGGTCTGATCCATAAGGCAGTGGGGCAACGTCAGGAGATTCAGTCCCATGATAGCCAGTGACTAATAAATGGTTCATACACCAATTGTTTCCTCAAGATCTAGGAGCCCATGTACACCATTTGTTTGGAACCAGGGTTTCCTAATTCCCCTAGTTGAATCCTCTGTATCCACCAACCCGGTTGATGTGCTTAACACTCGCTCTTCGTCCTTTCAATTTCGTAAGCAACACCCGTTGTGCGAAAAAACAGTGAGTAGGACTTCCTTGGCAGTGGGTGTATACGCGTGGCCATGTGCGAACATTTCGAGAGGGCAAGCTAATTCTCCTCACTCTCGGGAGTACAAAATCGATTTCTAAACATAGATGATAGATATGTTGTTCATTTATATATGACGTTTTGCTACTTTCCAGCTTTGTAGCTTGTCAGTGTTACTTGGTGTTTTTAACAGATAACGACTGCAACAAACCTTTAATTGTAATGAAGTGACACTTTATTTATTTCATTGCACTTCATTAACCTTAGTCTATGTTCTTGTGTAATCCTTTAAATATAAACCTTTATACCGGAGTTGAGCTTTTGATTCGGTTGTTAACCCTAGTGTTTTTTATGCCACGGCTACTGTGTAAAATTGATCGACGTACTAGTTATGTATTCACTACCGTTAGATATCTTGTTATGGTGATCAGTTTTTCCTTGCAGGTTGTAAAATTGCTTTCAGTCACTCATCTTGATATTATGCTTTTTCTCAATTCTTGTGTAATTGGTTTATAATCTCCCAAATTTTTAATTTGTGCAGTGTTAGAAAGACTTATTGAATACATTTTATTTCTACACTGTCTGATGTGTTATTTTGGAAAAATATTGTTCTGTGATGACTTTAATTTTATTAGCTTATTGAAAAGGTTCATTAATTGGGCCCTAGTTAACCAAGTATTTATAATAAATATATTTTGGATATATCAAAATGAGTAGAAAAATTACATTTCTGATATTGGGATATAACAAAAATATATTTATTATTAACTTTCTACCCAATACTCAATTTATTTTAAACTATCAATTCCAAGCTTGACATTGATACCTATAAACAAGTATTTATAAACAGTAGTGTTAATGTTAATGTGATGATTATATTTTTGCTTTTAATTACTAAACTTCTCTATGTTTCGTTCTTCATACAGGCTGATATAGATAAAGCAGTTAAAGCAGCTCGTAAAGCTTTCGAATTTGGTTCCGAGTGGCGTACCATGGATGCATCACATCGTGGTGTATTACTTCACAAATTGGCTGATCTTATTGAACGTGACAGAGTTTATTTGGCTGTAAGTGTTTGTACATTTAGTAATAACTTTTCAAGTTACTGTGTACATTTGAATGGAGTTGGGACTAATTGATTTCTGTCCCCAGCCTTCAACCTTCCGAATCTACTAAACTTTATATGTTGCTTATGATTTTCCTTACGAATCTATTAATGGTGAATGGGCTTTAATTCTAAAATGCAGCATGGATCATGGAATATTTATTTATGTCATAGTTTTTCATTGGATGCTTCTTCTGATAGTTTACTTACTAATTTTTGAAAGACTCACATAATCTCAAGTCTAATCGATAAACAAACAAGGCAGTTAAGTGTTATGTGCCATGTGCAATGAGATATTTCGTTATTTCATAGTATGTAAAAATGACGTTCATAATTAAAAATCGTAAATGTCATGACTTGATCAGATCTGAGCAGATCTTTTCATTATTTAGCTTCCAGGTTTTGGACATTACTGATTTTATTTCTTCTTCTGTTCTGGATATGGTGTTTTGATTTCATTAAGCTCGTTTGGGTTGTTAACATGATGAATAAATTACTGATAGATAGGTTATACACAGTGATATCACATGGTCTAATCATAATAATTTATTAAGAAAATAAGCAAGCTCTCGGATGCAAAAAACCTAGTCAGACAATCAGGTTTTTTCTGTCAGTCAGACAGTCTTGTTTTTTCAGCAATACTGTTCTGTTACCTTCCGTGTTATTTTAAAGTGTGTAAATGTGAACTAGTGAGCTTCGACACCAAGCCTCTACGTTGGTCAAAGTACTTGAATGTGCATATTCTATCGTCAGTTAATTTCTTATTTTATTTATGTAACCAATATCTGTTATACTTGTATATTTGTGTTCAATTCCCTTATTGTTTTAGTCTTTGGAAACACTGGATAATGGGAAACCGTTTGCTGATTCATATAATATTGATCTAGATTTAGTGATCAAATGCTACAGGTTAGTATTTAAAATACTTTTCATCTTGTTGATTTTCTTGTATGCTTGCGTCTCGTGTTTGCAATTTGTATGGTAATCTGTTCGCAAAATCATGTTGATGTTTTTGTCTTTCAATCTGAACTTTTACACTTAATTTTTCTTTTATTTTCAATGGATAACAATTCAGTGTGCTCGACATTTCACTACTATGAGCACAAAATATCGTTTCATACTTTCTAAAAATAGTGAGGAGTTTGTGTATATACTTGGCATTTAATCTGGTGTTTCATTATGATTTGTTCACTAAGTGAAAAAATATGCAACCCGTCAGTAAAATAGATAAATTATGGCTAGCAGTGGGATTCAGATGGTGCGCCGTTTCTTCTTTTTTTAAACTAATCGGTTGAATGTACTTACCTCATCTCAATATTGGTGTTCATGCTAGTTCTCGGATCCATTGCCTTGCACTTTAAAAGCCTAACACGTTATTCTATTGAGCTACTAAGTTCAAAGAGTCAGTAACTTGTTCAAAGAGTACAATTTTCATATCATCATTAGAAAAGGTTCGATTTATTCCATCACTGAATTGTGATCCGTCTAAGTAGGGAAATTTTCTGTACAAAACAGAACATGCGTCCTAGATTACACTGTCAGCTACAATGGTGCAGGTGCATTTGCTCTTTGTTTTCTTTCAAATTTTACGTTTCTTAACTACTTTATAGACCTTTTTATTCCAGCAGTCCATATTTCCTTCATGAATAATATCCTCTATACTTCTATGTCTTTTGTATTTCCGCCAATAACATTATTACATCTGCTACTCTGGGATTCTCCCTGACACTGTCATTTAGGTGTGTTAATGTGTTATAACAACTTAGAATGATGTACATATGTTAAGTCCTATAGTGCATATATCTGACTATTCTAAAATGACTTGTTATAAAATAACGACTCATCAAAAGTCAATCGAGATTATCAACAATCGGATTATTCAAATCCTTTGTAATAATGATATAACCCATTACTATCTAATGGAAACTATTATCTAATGGTCTGTATGTGTTTTTTTTTTACTCGAGTTACCTGGAATTCAACCACTCAATTACGAGTTTGAATCTCATTCTATTTATTACAGTTATAATTTAATACACAGACTTCTGTATATTTTTTTTGCGAGGTCATCACAACTATACCAACAACAACCAACACAGTATTCAAGTCTTATTATTTCCGTTATTGTTTCTGTAAGGCTTTAAATTTTATAATTATAATGAATTCGTAGATCATTTGATTTAGTTCTCTTGTAAGTTAGCTAAGAATCGTACATTACATTAAACCTATAAATATCACTATTACTATTATTATTAGTATTATCATTAGTTAGTTAGCTAATATAGATTCAAAGTAACGATAGGATTTCACTGATAGTTTTTTTCTCTTCACCTTAGTGAATTGTAAAAAACAACAACTGTGAACTTAATCATTATCTAAAGTATTTCTGTGATTATAATCAGTCAGTCAGTCAGTCATTGGTATGATGATAATTTTCAATTCTTTATTGATTAATTTATTTAGAGACAAGGTTACATTGGTCTAGTGGTCTTGTCTAATTTTGTCAGTATACAATTAAGCCACTTTATACGTGCATTGAACTTCTGATGTAATAATGATACTCGGTGTTATATTAGGACGAATAGTTTGACATCGATTAGGCACTAAATACAAACAAGTTATTATATCTGAAAATTATATTTGAAATAATCTCAGCGATTGAAATTTAGAATGATTACAACGTGTCGTTCAACAAACTTGTGTGGACTTGTTCAGGGTAATAATCGAAATCATCAAATAAACATACAGCGCTTAACAATCAAATCAACTCTTTACTGTGCTAGTCTAATCATATTTAGATGTTGACTTTAGTAAATAGGATAACATGAGTCAGTTATATGCGAATCATGTGGAAAGATCACAGTGTGAAAATAAATGAATGGATGATTGTGTGTGTGTGCATGGAATTAAAAACTCTATGGAATTCAAGAATAATATCGATATCATCCATATGGAAGAGGATGAAATGATGACAAGTTTTGATGTAGAGAAAGGGTCCAATTACTTGTTAAAGAATATTTGCAAAGTAGTTGCTGGTTGAATACCAACCCTTCTGTTCAGGCTGTTCTTATTTTCCCATGTATACAACGCTTCTGCAGTCAATCGTTCTTTATGTGTGTTAAAACCTTTCTGAAGTATTTTGGTCCCTTCAAAATTAGTTTTGTATCCTGTTTCCAACTCATGTAACGCTATCGCCGACCTATTCTCAAGTTTCTTTAGATCAGCCGAGGATTTGGGAGCATTTTCGAAACACTGTTTATGTTCCTTCAACTTCACATTCAATTGTCTTGAAGTTTCTCTCACATACGCTGCATGACAGTCGATCTCATGGACAACATTCTACTGTTCTTCTTTTGGAAATCTATTCTCAGCCTTCATTAATGCTGATCTTATAGTATCACAAGCCCGAAAATGCACTCTTATACCATGCTCACTTAGAATTCTCTTGATTTCTTCCGATGTTTCACCACGGTATGGGGTGACCACGGTGGACTTCCAATCTTTCGGTATACATCCTAGTTTAGTTTTTCATTCATTTTTAATTATCTTCTTTAAAAACTCTTTGGGGTAATTGCTATCCCTAAGCGTAGACAAAGCTCCATTAAATTCAGCCTGTTGGTCTTCCTTAATTAAACTTTTTACGACTATGACCTTCGTACAATACGCATGAGTCGAACCGTAATCTAAGTATCTCTCAGAATGTGTTGATTTTCTGAATACATTTATTTTCGACTTATTATCATTACTATTATTATTAATTATTATGTCTTCTTTCAACCAAACAATCGAGAAATGCTAGTTTGTAGTCATTGAACTCTATTTCCATTGTTGGCTTGATGCTATTTGAAATGCTGTTTACATTTTCAAACAATTCTTCTAAACTTTTTCTTTTAATAATAATGAAAATGTCATCTACACGCCGTAACCAAACTTTTGGTGGACATACACATCTTGTGATTATGTGGTGTGGGTTACTTATATCCATATAAGTAGTATATAACGGTGGCCAGGCATAGGATGTGTTTTGGCAGAAGATCGATAAGGAAAGAACAGAAACGGAACGCAGTCAGTATGAAAATGCATGAACAATGAAATCCAAGACAATGGACCTATATTTGCAGAAGGAACAGTCAAGTTTGAGACGATGGATTGATATTTTGCAAATTAACTATTTACTGTATGGTTCTCAGATTTTATTGAGATGCTCTGTAATTTCGTGTCAAATACATTCGATTGTCCCCACTCATGTTCTTGTTCACTACAATTGCACTGGTTTCTAGGGATTGCATGAATAAATAATCTATAACGGAGAAACTAGTGAACCCATTGCTGCACCTTCTTTCTGTTTGTATAGGTCTCATCGAAATTTTAATAAGGTGGATCGTAAACACAATTCCAAGCACTTAATAACTTTGGACGGATCTAACGGGCATCGTAGATTCGAATCTGAGTTAGATTCTAAACAACAATAATATCCAATGCTCTATTAACTGGTTCAATGGTAAATAAGGAAGATACATCAAAACTTATCATCATTTCATCCTCTTCCATATGGATGATATCGATATTATTCTTGAATTCCATAGAGTTTTTAATTCCATGCACACACACAATCATCCATTCATTTATTTTCACACTGTGATCTTTCCACATGATTCTCATATAACTGACTCATGTTATCCTATTTACTAAAGTCAACATCTAAATATGATTAGATTAGCACAGTAAAGATTTGTTAAGAGCAGATGCGATATTCTATCATAATTGTAGTAGCATGATCTCTATTTAATCTTGTGCTTGTATATACTAGTTTCATTGAAATATAATGACTTAAGAAGATAGTAATAATCGCATATCTTTATCTTATAGCGAACAAACGGCATAAGACGGGGTAAAAATGGTCTTTTTAAGGCTTTGTACAGTTGATTATATCAAACTTCATTGTTTATACAAGTTAATAATGAACATTTTTTTATAGGTATTATGCTGGCTGGGCAGACAAATACCATGGGAAAACTATACCTGTCAATGGAAACTATATGTGTTTCACTCTTCATGAACCAGTTGGTGTTTGTGGACAAATTATACCGTGGAATTTTCCACTTCTTATGCAGGCATGGAAGCTCGGTCCAGCATTAGCGACGGGAAATACAGTGGTAATGAAGACAGCAGAACAAACTCCGTTGTCTGCGAATTGGGTAGCTGAATTAATCAAAGAAGCCGGATTCCCACCTGGTGTAGTGAACATTGTTCCAGGGTAAAGAAATTTTGAAATTGACTGACCCAATTTTTCCAATGCTTTTTTTCTAATTAAGGATGCTTGTGTAAATAGGTTTATATATTTTAGCGGTGTTGTGTTCTCTGAGCCAGATTATTTAATTGAAAAGCTTTTACTGTTTTTCTGGACAACAGCGCATGATTCATATATAAGTAAGTTTGCCAACTATTCTAAAGGTGTTGAATTAGTTCGTTTCGACGGCTTTATTCGTGATTGGATATCTCCGTAGATTTTGTTGTCTTCATTTGTTCGTGCATTCATGTTGATTGTTTTGTGGGTTGACTTTCAACTTATGCGGTTACTATATGCCCATGAATAGTTGAAGGCAACAAAACTTTCGAGGATAACTAGTCACAAACAAGGTTATCAAACCAAACCAATTAGACACTTGTAGAATAGTCGTTCACTCCTTTATGAGATAAGTGTTGACGATATTATTCAGAGCGACAATGAACGCCTTGAAATCGAACCATCTGACTCAGACAACATAACATTATCAAAAGCATTCACATGAGCTACGAATTCATTTTTCCAAAAACTGATAGGTTTTATTTCAAGTTCATCTCAAAACTCGGTGAATAATTGGCTTAGGTAGTATAGAGAATGTATAAACTTCATATGGACTTGAATCAGGAGTTTTTAGTGTGATGTAATCACTGTAACAATGTACAGTTTATTTTTTCGAATCAGAAAACTTTGAATCTACATTTCACTTTAGTTGACATTATTCAATACGGTGTAACTGAGACTTGATTCGTTGTAAAGATTTCTTTGGTGATAATTTTTCTTCAGTAAAATTAGTTTACATGTATATTTTCGTCCAGTGGTTCGATCCATGTAACATCATTATCTGAATAAAGCTTTCTTCAAAGTGTTTACCATAATGTCCACTTCGAATTGTGTATACAATAATTTATAATTGAGAGTAAAGAGAATCAGGTTACATACAATCGCTTATCGGCTCCTTGAAATCATTTTAATGGTGTATGTAATCATCAGAAAGATAAGTAAAGTGGCCACGAAGATTGATCGATTGTATGCTTATGCGTATATATTATTCCAATTAGTGACCTTGTTAGATATGGGTTTGATTCATCAGTTACTAATTTTATTTGTGTAAGTTAAGTTGATTGAGATGACCAAGAAGACCAGTATATCAAGAGATAATGATTTTAAGCAGACAATGTTGAAAATCGATACTACTGGCAAATACACTTTCATAATTTGATATGATTTTCGCTAACAACGATTACTCTAATGACACTTCAATTCAGGATACGACAGCTTCTTTACCTTTTAACCACACCTACTCTTTAACGGAAGTCCTTTAAGAAAGATATATTGATAAGGAACACAGAAGATTCAAATTACATTCGAGTTCACGTAGTTGTATACTAATGATTATTTTTACAGTTTAAAATGTGAAATGATTGTAGCTAGACTATCATTGAAAGCGTAAAAGCACTGGATGTCTGTCTCATCCTAGTATGAGACTCAGTCACATTGAACATCCAAGACTCTGTATCTGGGAATTGAACTATTATAACTAACGTAATTTTATGTTGCACGATCGCCTCATTGATGTTTTCACTTTTATATTTGAGTTTCCTGAACATGTGTGAAGTGTTCATGCGCTAAGTTACTATTACGTGACTCTAATTTCTGTAGATAGAACCAGACTACTTATATTCTCTTTTTCCTTAATCTACTAACTAGATTAATAAATCAAGTTTCCTTATAGAAGCTATATTGATTTAGACCCCAGTAGAATAGTAATACATTTTGCTCCGTCAAGTAAATATACTGATCGTAATGATTAGAGTTTTTGGACTGAATAATTTTAGCTGAATACAAATCGTAGTGAAAATGTGTTGCAAATTCATAAAATAATGTAACAAAAATGTTTTACAAGTCGACCTTACATTCACCTTAAATTGACATTGATTTCTTTTTCTTATAAGTTCTATGTATTTGCTGATTCTACGTACCTAAAAATTGGTTATTGTAGAGACTATTTTAGGTTGAATCCTTCATTTTCTCTTCGCCATTACATGCATTGTACTGGTTTTCTGAGGTTTTACCTAGTTTCTTTCACGTACGTGATATTCACGAGTTTACAGGCTTTTCTATTATCTAACTAATCCTATTTTCTATCAAGAGTAAAACTCGTTTACAGAGTTTAGGTTTATCTATCCTGTTTTGAATTACAGTTTATGTAAAGGTTAGTGATAGTGCCTGACTACCCAAACTGAAGTGGGCGGACTTTTGACCAAGTTTTATTTAATATACAATTCAATCACTAAATAGAGTACCCATCAACAATGTTTATGATGATGGTAGTTTCAACAATTCAGTCACTCGTAGACAGATTTGTTTGAATAATGTCACTTATACAATAAGTAGTTGATGAATAGGGTTCGAGAGAATAATTTTTGTAGCTCGCTTGGCATCGTTTTGTTCGATCCTTGTTACCAACTTTTGTCCTAGCTCGACTTCATACAAATAATTGACTTAAACACCTGAACGAATGTGTTTGCCTCCGCTGTAGTAATAAGTAGGTCACAACACCAAGTCCTATTGGATAAAGTGTGTTTGAATTGAGCTTGTCCGTGGATGACTTATAGTGATTTATAGGTGTAAGTTGAAAATAACTAATAACATGATAATTATATACTTGACAACCAAACATTTTTCTTATATCCTTTTATTACTGCTCAAGAGAATAGGCATACGAAACAACCAAAAAAACATGAAATGATTAATATCTCCAGAAATTTCCCCCAAAGGTCCTTGTACGCCACAGAATGGAGAGTCTGTTTCTCCTCTCAAAACACTCCTATACACTCGTGTGTTTATAACCACTGACTGCTCACATCGGGTGTGTTGTTTACAAAATTCAGAAGATGAAAAAAAACGAAACCTCTAACGGAAGCTTAAACTGGATAGGTGTGAACGAAATATCCACATAAGGGAAGTTGGAAAACCTTGACTCCAAACCAATCGCACAAATGAGCTCATAATTCCTAAGGGAACAAACGGCGTATCAATCTATTATTTGTCACTGTCTACCATGTGACCGTATCTCCTGAAGTTGCTTCAATGTCTTGTGGATTAGATCTCTAGGTCAAAAGCATGGGGAGTGGCCCTCTAAGAAAGCGATTTGTTTTGATTAGGGCAACTGAATAGTATCTCATCCCTCACAAAAATCATGTGTGACGCTTTACTTATGTTAATGTGTTCAAGCGTATTTCTCTCATTTCACTATCCACTTTTTACTTGTTTATTTTTCAACAATTTTTATCAGATTTGGTGAAACTGCTGGTGATGCCCTAGTCGTTCATCCTAATGTTGATAAAATTGCGTTTACTGGTTCAACAGCTGTAGGACAATTGATTGGTCAGAATGCTTATAAACATGGTGTGAAACGAATTACTTTAGAACTTGGCGGAAAGAGTCCATTAATTATTTTCAGTGATGGTGATTGTAAGTTGTATTGTAAATCAGTTTTTTTTTACCTTTGTAGTTGTAGATCTTCTTTCCCACTGAATTGAAATAATTTAATCTGTACCGTTGTATCCGTGCACATTGTCCTATCATTTTCTAGTCAAAGATGATCTCTCATTATCGGTTCAAATAAAAAAAAGCTAAAAAGTATTGAACCGGTTTTTCATCCTAATTCGAAGCTTGTCAATATTTCACATACACATGCTCTGTTCTCGCCTTCATAGGACAAAAACTGCTGTCATTAATCAAACAAAAATGTGTCCAAAAGGTGAAATTAATGAACTCGATCTCAAATTCGATAGACGTCAGGTTTGTATATCACTGTAGTAAAGTGTATTACAGAAACGGAAGAAATATCCAGAGCTTTTAAAATTATGTATGTAATTTCTCTATATCGGTAGTAAGGGTCCAATACAAAATGCAGGTGTTAGATTCTTTGGAATAACACATCAACAATTGTATAAAGTTTTGACTTCTCAAGATGTTTATATACATGTAAATAATCAATGGTTCTACGACAAATAATAAGTAGCCTAAAGTTAGGAGATAAATTCAGTCAGAGCGATTAACTCAGGAGCAACGACCAATTCTCAATACATATCAATCCAGTAATTTCAGGCAGATAAAAATATATCGATTAGTAGAACCTAAAAATGGTCAGTCTGTGATTACTATAGTATATGGATGAATAATTGATAAATTGTACGAATGTTCCTATCAAATAGAAGTTCATATCATAACTAGTAAGGGATTGAATTATCCCATGTTTTAAAATCATTTTTAGTGTAGATTTGGATTATATCTTGACTAAATTTTGACCAGTTTTTGTTTGGATATGTACATCCCATGCAGATTACCGCAACATAGCTATTATATTGAAATTTGAGAATAAATTGGTTGTAAGTAACAATGGAATCCAAGATGCTGTCACATCTTGTTTGATAATCGTTATCTGAATATATCTACATCTCATTGTTGGTGTTCACTCTGGAAAAACTCAAACACGAACCACTAATGATGTATACAACATACCCACTGAATAGGTTAGTGGCTGTTCTAGATTCAATATCTCAATGGAGAACGTATTTAGCGTTTCAAGTGAGATACAAGGTTCGAGTCCGAATATTTGAACATTAACACTAGGATTAAGCCGGTGAATGCAACTAATAAGTCCCTAGATTCCAATGTTTGCCACTACCTATTTATTCTGAATAAAAGTATTTTGAGGTAGTCAACCGTAAACCCTGGAACCGAGTTTCGTGCTACTTGGCACTCGTCAGCAAGATGTACTTGTAATCTTGAGGGAACTGGTGCTCTCTGACGGATTCGATCCCGTGTCACACAGCTTCACGGTCAGAGATGTTACTACTAAGCTATCCGGGCCAGAGTTTCCTGTCGACTACCTGCAACCACCATCTTATCTCAACATAGTGCACGAAATGTCGAGTCACGTAGACTAGTGGCCACATTGCAACTTGGTCGATAGCATTCGATCTGCACTAATAAGCACTTGACACACATGACATTAGTCACCACCCAGTGATCAATCAATTTTGAAAAAGTTTATTTTATTTTCAAAGATTATTTCATTCTATTATAATCTACTTTATTCATTCTACATTACTATTCTTTTTAAATCTCAGTTGATCGAGCCATAGCTACGTCACATTTTGGTTTATTTTTCAATCAAGGCCAGTGTTGTTGTGCAAGTTCACGTATATTTGTCGAAGAATCAGTTTATGATAAGTTTGTTGAATATAGTAGTGAAGAGGCTAAAAAACGTATAGTTGGTAATCCTTTTGATTTAAATACAACACAAGTGAGTAACATTTACAACTATTTAAACATTTAATTATTATTTCCTAGTGAAATTGTAATCTAACTAAAGGATTATGTAATGTTCATCATATAAATATTCATTTGATCTGTATATGGTTTTTGGTTACGCTAAAAGGATCGGATATTTTCTAAATATGGATATTAATTAATTCATTTATTTAAACACATTAACATTGACAAAGAAAGGGGCTAAGATATATATGCGTCACACAGGATTTTTGTGTGGGATGGGATTATTATTATTTATTTTAACACATAGATATTGGTACAAGGAGGCACCAAATACATATGCGCCACACAGATCTCATTGAATATGTGTGAGGGCTGTGATACTGCCCGGGTGCCCAAACCGAAACAGGGTAGGATGGGATACTGCTCAGTCACCCTAATCAAAACAGATGGCTTCCTTAGAGGGGCAACTCCCCATGCTTTTGAACTGGAGACCTAATCCACAAGACGGTGAAACAACTTCAGGAGATGCGGTCACATGGTAGACAGTGACAAATAATAGATTGATACGCCGTTTGTTCCTTTAGGAACCATGAGCTCATTTGTGCGATTGGTTTGGAATCAAGGTTTTCCAACTTCCCTTATGTGGATATTTCGTTCACACCTATCCAGTTTAAGCTTCCGTTAGAGGTTTCGTTTTTTTTCATCTTCCGAATTTCGTAAACAACACACCCGATGTGAGCAGTCAGTGTGTTTCTTGTGCCAGTAGCTATAAACACATTAATGTATAGGAGTATTTTAAGAGGGAGCTAAACGTTGACCATATAATAGCTAATCTGATAGTGACCAAGTTACATATTACTCACATTTGCAATGGCCACTACATCATAGAAATTAATATCCTGGTGAAGTGAAAATGTAGTTTAGTATCTAGGCTTGTTTTTTTTGAATTTCAGTAATAAGATATGTCTATGACTATAATTAAAGTGGCATTTGTTTAGTGGATTCAATCTCATACCATCTAGTGTAGAAATCAAATATGGTACTTATATACTTATGAAGTGACGTTTATACTAAATTATCAACGAAGAATTGGTTTCCTTGAAGTTTCACATGATCTTGTTAACAACGTTAAGGTGTTTGGCTATACTCTACCATTTGTTTTTATCAATCACTTGCTTATGATTTTAAACCTTTGGTCAATTTTCAAATCTGTAACAGTTTATGAATATGTTTTAAAGTTAGTATTATATCATTTTGGTTTCATACTAAAATGCGGTTATTTGTTATTCAGGGTCCACAAGTTGATGAACACCAATATCAAACTGTTATGTCATACATTGAATCTGGTATAAAAGAAGGTGCCAAATTATGTGCCGGTGGCAAACAATCTGAATCAGATGGTTATTTCATTCGTCCTACAGTTTTTGCTGATGTTCAAGATGAAATGCGCATTGCTCGTGAGGAAGTAAGTTATTCTATTATTTATAGTTTGTTTCAACTTGTATATGCTATACATGATGAATGTTGTTGATGATTTTAAATATTTGATTTTACCTCAAGTGTTTATAATAACAGATGTATCTATTGAAATAAATGAATTTCATTTGTAAATGTTTCAGTGATACATTTGGATCAGGATGAACCTAATTAATGACCTAAAATTCCTTACCCTTAAGTTAGACTCATTGGAATAACTCACCTTTGATCATTTAAAGTTGGAAGACAGTTTTAGCTTCCCGAAATATCGATTCAGCAACACCAGTTAGTTTTCAACACAGAGAAACATTAAAATTATTAATACGATAGGACCGTATAGATAAGTTTATCTAACAACTAAAGAATGAGTATACTGAACAGCAGTTCGATTTGTTTTCATTTATGGTTGTGAAATGTAGCCTTTAGAATAGAGGATATCCGTAGGCTTCTCCTATTTGATCATAATTACCTCCACAACACTTCTCACATTTGTTGAAACATCGAGTTAGCAATGCTGAGGTTGGAATCAAGGTACTGGGTAAATATAGCGAATCGGTTGATGAGGCTGTGAATCTTCATCGACTATGGTAGTTCGGATATGTTCGACGTATGCTCAACCATCGCCTACCTCAATGCGCTATGTTCGGTGATATGAAAAGAGGTTAGAGGAAAGCTAGCGGCTCCCAAATCAAGACGTGACGTAAGTTTATGAATTCATTGACAGTTGGATTAAGCCATATTGGTGGGTGCAGACTACTAAGGTTCGTGGTTAACAGTGCTTAAGAGATTGTGTGTGACATGGCTTAGAGTTAATCATCCTTTGTCCGCTGGAACTATGACAAGTTAGTTAGTCACAATGACTTAGATGTGTTCGCCCTTTGTCTTCCTATAAACATTCTGTTTTTAAAATCATCCTGTGAACGATATATTGTGAAGTTCGAAACGCTTTTACTTTTTCTTTTGTTGAGTTAATTAAATAAAACAGAAGACTGGAATTTCGGAAGAGAGGCCTCTGATATTCTGAAAATTTACATGAGTCAACATCACCTTGTGTACAAGGTAACCAAAATTTATGATAATAACAGCGGTGCAAATAACACAATAATAATAATAATTGTTACTGGGGTAATCCGAAGAATTAGTACTAATACTGTAGTGAACGAGAACACAAGTGGGTACAATCGAATGTATTTGAATACAAAATTACAGAATATCTTAGCAAAATCTTTGTTCTCATTCTCTTATTTTCGACTTTTTTAACCTCCTGCCTCCAGGTATTTCACTTTCGGTTGACGGTACATACTACTTATATCTGACATCAGTAGCACACACTGCAATATGAATCCCATTCATGTATAACAGTAGTTAATGATATTGATTTCTGTCTTTTTTTCCGTTGTTGTAGATATTTGGACCTGTAATGCAAATTATGAAATTTCGATCATTAGATGAATTGATACATAGAGCAAATCATACACAATATGGTCTTGCAGCTGGTATATTCACTAATAATTTAGAAAAAGCTATGCATGTTATGCAACGTTTACAGGCTGGCACTGTTTGGTAATGTTAATCTTAAGTTTTTAATAATAATTGAAATGATAAAACTACAGATTGTGGACAACGTTTAAGGGACATTGTATTAACCTTGAGAAACTTCACCTACTTACTAGGATTAAAAGCTAAGAATCAGAGGTTAAGGTTAGGAATATGAGTTAGTTTTCATTATGAAGTAGTATCAATTAGAATGGCAAAATGCTGTTTAGCCATATGGATGATGAGTAGTTTTTGGGTCAAAATCCTGGACTAACTGTCTTAAATATCATTGGTGTGTTCATAAATTATAGTCTCACCGTTGCAACTTATTACCTTTTACACTATTGTATATTATTTATAAAGATACATTTATTGTATTTCAATGTCGGATGATTTCAAGTAGAGTTGATTGAAAGATATGAATTTGGATTTCGTTGATCAATTCAGACCAACACCTAGGGGTTTATATAGCATGGTATTATTTCTAATCTAGTAACCACTTTGTGTACACTGTCCAGTCAGTCATAATTAGTATAGAGGATTTGTGTATATTGGAAAATTAAAGACTGGTCTTGGCTAGAAAACTGTCAGAGACTGTAAAACCTATTGTGCGACTCATTAAAAGTATGCATTCATCATAGGGTCATAGACTGTTGGTCTCTAGCTCAGCAACTAAGCTACTTCACACCTGTTGTTCTGAGTTACAAATGGTAAATGTAGATTACTTGGTTGGTGTTCGCACAATAAACGCAATTAGTAGTCGAAGATATTAGGTGACAGCTTACGTTAGGTCACAGTGGCAAGTATTTATTCATTTTTTAATTTCCTCTAGATTTTGAGTTTCAGTACTCCTTCATTTATATTTTTGCACTCTGTATTTTAGGACCACATTCTCAATGCTGATTCTCTTTCACTCTTATTTCTGTCAAATTATTACAACATTTTTCTGGCTACTAGTGTAGTGAACGAGAACACAAGTGGAGACAATCCAATGTATTTGGATGCAAAATTACAGAATATATTAGTAAGATTTGAGAACCATACAGTAAATACTTGCGAAATGTCAATCAGCTGTCTCAGACTTGACTGATTCTTCCTTTCCACACCAATCACTCTCTGTTCTCGTTCTCATAGCTCAGGTAGGATGGTGAGTTCCGGCTCAGAGAATAAAACTTCACCTAGATAATTTCTTTATACAGTAAGATGAGTAGTGTGGAAGTATAACTTCTAAGACTATTAGACATAGGATTATTATTAATATTTCCACTTTATAATTAGTAGAGACTAGATGCTGACTTCTCTTCGGACTCAAGACACGGTGCAGATAAAAGCTTGGGGATATCTGACTATTAAGAGTGCAGCTTAGGTTAACTATGTAGGTCATAAACGGAATAGTAAACACAGGACAGAAAAAACCACAACCAGAATTCCGATAGGCGAATTTAACACATGATATTGATTAGCATTTGTAATCATCAATTGTGTTCAATTTATGAATTTGTTGTATATTTTTTTGTACAGGATCAATTGTTATGATGTTTTCGATGCTGCAGCACCTTTTGGAGGTTATAAGTTTTCTGGAGTTGGTCGAGAATTAGGTGAATATAGTTTACGAAATTATACAGAAGTCAAAACTGTAAGTATTATATAATACTGCCCCCTATTCTTATTGTTTTACTCACCATCACGTATGTGTGTTGAACAACGAAAGTAAAACTTATGAGTTTATTTCATCTGGAGATAACTGTAAGAAAGCTCGGATACTTTAGTTTTAATTAGTATCTGTTATTAGTGATCAAAACTAAGACGCTTATTGCGAGAAACTAAGAATGAATATACAATCATTTGTGAAAAACTGCATAAATACTAAACTTAATTGAATTGCACATAAATTGAGTAGAATACAGGTGATCATTACATGTTTATAGTGTAATGTCGGTTGGTATGTTAAGCCCACATGATTTATTCTTGCTCCTGGACAGGCCAATTTATCTATTCTTCCTGAGTCACGTTTCGACACTGTTAATTACTCACTTATCAACCCTGACTTTTTACATGAGCATATATATGTGTACACTTCTTATCCTATTCTTCACATATCTGTATTTTATTTTTATGTGACTATAAATATCGATTCACGTTTGATTAGAGTTGGTTCATACGCCTTCTCTACAGCACGTCATTTCACTTCGCTCTCTTCTGTTCGATTGTTTGTCTAGATCAACGATTGCACAAAATATACATATTCAAACTCCATTCCCGTATTAGAGTTATTTAGTTCTGTTATACACTAACGCGAGTTAAGCCGATAATTATATACGTGAATTGTCAGGATGTATATTTCGACAGCAATTATTCAATAACGATCATTTGTCCGATCTAACTAGTCAGATCCTGGACCACAAAACTTCTCTAGATATGGTTATCTGTCACAGGCGATTGAGGAAAATGAATTTTATGTATCATTCGCACTGCAATCTGTTAAGTAACTACTCACCAAATAATATATTACTTAATCCTGACAGACAGTGTTACATTTCTTTGTTTCTACTCCTACGTGTACACATTTTAATACATGTCTATCATTTCATTAGTTGATGCAATATTTTGGCATAAATAGTTTTCAATTTTTGACTCATGTACTCCTGAAGTTAGTATTATGTCCAGTTTTGGATACTAGCGCATGATTTGTAACAAACTGTTGTCCTACTGTAGTTCACTTAGTTATACAAACAAACTGATTGATATACCTTTGTTAAAGTAGAGTAACAGATAACGTCGTTGTGCAATATTATACTGAATCTATGATCCAACACTAAAATTTCCCCAAGTCATTTACTTTGAACAAGCATGTCATAACCGTTGAGCCGTTTGCTTATCTTTTACCGACCGTATGATAATATCAGTCAAAATGTTATAAATTAGTGTAAGGAATTAGGATTAAAAGCTATAATCAGAGGTTAGGGTTAGGAAATATGAATTAGAGTTTTCATTATGAACTAGTATCATTTAAAATGCTGAAATTCTGTTTAGCCATGTAAATTAGTAGTTTTTGGATCCAAATGCAGGAATAACTGTCTTAAATATCATCATAAATTATAGTCTCATCAAAAGTTCTTGTAATAAGTGTTGTTTATGAATGTGACGAACAGCGATTGTTCATCATCACAATTGATTGATCACTGGGTGGTGACTAATGTCATGTGTGTCAAGTGCTTATTAGTGCAGATCGAATGCTATCGACCAAGTTGCAATGTGGCCACCAGTCTAGGTGACTGAACACTGCATAAACAATTGTGAGATTAGATGGTGGTTGGAGGTGGTCAACAGAAAACACTGGACCCGGGTTTCGTGCTACTTTGCACTCGTCAGCAAGGTGTACATGTAATCTTGTGGGAACTGGTGCTCCCTGACGGATTCGATCCCGTGTCACACAGCTTCCTCCAACCACCATCTAATTGTTCATCATCTCAAATAGATTATCTTCATTTAAAATTGTATCATATTTTGTGTATTCCACCGTTTTAACTTAATTAAATTTCTTATTTTCCAAAAAAATAATCATACACTCTAGGTAACTACGAGGATACTTCAAAAGAATTCATAAACACAGATAACTATCTGTTATTTATTTTTGTTATGCTTTATAAGATTTAATATTTGAAATTGGTGTTCAATTTGAACTCTTAACTCATGAAGGTATGATTGAAAGATTGTGATAAAATGGTGTTTGATTCTAAATACATTTTTTTCTTATTTATTTATTTATTTATCTGAACAAATAAATATTGATACAAGGGGGTACCAGATATATATGCGCCACACAAAACAATGAGAATGGAAAGAGAAAAAGAAGGTAAGATGCGTATAAGAAATAATAATCATAATAATAGGGGAAACGGAAAGGCACAATCTGAAAGAATTCTTTCATTTAATGAAGTTACAACCGCTTTATTGAGAAAGTTAAAGGTTACAGCAGGATTGCCTCTGGCTTCTATTCTGAGCCACATCTAATAATGTCTCTAGCCACTGTGTTGCACCGTTTCTTGGACTCCAGCCAGGGAATCGTGAAGGACCAACAGAACCCAGTCTTTTGCAGCTTTCTTTCATACCACGACACCATGTCATATACTGACCAGCTCTCCGCTTTTTCCAACCAGTCCCAGAGTTGGCAAATAATGCACGACGTGGAATTCTCTGGGACGACATTCGTAGAACATGTCCAAGCCACCGAAGTCGATGTTTCAAGATGGTGACACCAATTGCATTATCGTCTCTGTGCTCACAGAAGGTACCTCAAGATTTAGGGTTTGCAATGAATTTGTATTTATTGAATAATTGTGCCGTTTATACACAAATAGTCTTTTCTAAACCTCGGTTTCATGTGCATTTTAATCGTGTAGTTCAACACCATAGATGTGTTTACGCCTGACATTTTCTGTTCATATAGACGGTTATCGTCTTACAAACAGTCCTAAAAGAGACTATAGTATCTAGTGTGGACCTGATATTCCAATTGAGAATGTCTGGTGTTCTTGTATTTTTGCCAATAGTGAGGAAGTAATTACGTTAATACCTCTTGAATAGAGTTTGAAAGTTGTAGCCAGTGTGAATGTAGCCTTGATACTGGAATCGCCTACCTATGATTCATCACTTCTTGCTGATTGTTTGAAACTTTGGCATGCATGGAATAACATTTTGGTCATTATCATAATACTCTTCACCGACCATTTTAAATTTTATTTTAACGTTGTGACAGAATATTAGGTTGAATATGGTGTCTAGTGCTAGTAAATACTCATTTCATTGTTAGTTGCGTATGTTGACGGGCCTGAATATATATTCATAATATGGCTGGACAGTGGGTATGTGCCAGTAAGTGCCAGATAGATCAAAATAATCTCATAACACCAAAAAAACGACTTCAGTGTTTGTTAGCTTTGGAGCCCTTCATCGTGAACACCTAGTCTTGCGTAACTTTATTAGTGCTGTTATCACCTCTCCACACGCTGGGGTTGGTTTTGAAAATTTCTCACTTTACTAATCGATTGTGACTACCTGAAGGGTTTTGAATTTCGCATATGGTTGACTAAATTCAACTGAAGCTGAAAACAAACTAATTATATTTTCTACCTCTGATGTAAACTATGGTAAGATTTCCGCATCATAGATTTACGTGAAGGTGATTACTAAACAAAGTCTAAGAGCAGTTTTGATATCGTTTTCAGTGACGATATCGTTAGTATGCAGTCAACGCTCGATGAGAAAGATAGATGGTGTGAGAATATCTGCAGACGTGTTGGTTTCTACCATATGATCACTCATTCAGACAAGCTTCTAAATGAAGAAGAGCGTCATGGACAGTAACGAAATTAGAGTTTATTACTGCAGAATATTGGTTGACATGTTTGTTTGAAGTCAATTATGTTACCATACATCATAGGCTTGAAATCATTCAAAGACATATGCATCGCAGTGACGGTGCTAGATGTATAGATTGTTTGATGGGATGGTTGAACGTGTTGTTAATGTTAAGACTAAAAATGTTGCCAGTTTAGTGAGCCGTTAAATTAATGCAATATTTCAAGTGAGATAGTAATCATGCACATTGAGGTGGAATGAAATGAAACGACATTTCCGAGAAATTTCAAGCTCTTCATTCAGTGGTATATTTGGAAAACATTGTTCACCGATGAATTCTTAGCCTACACTTGCTGGGAATAAACGTGCCTTATGAAGATCGTGTTAGCTAAGCTGGATGCGCAAAATACAAAATATAAATGTGAAAATATATAACACTCTAAATCTTCTGATTCAGGCTTTGAGTTATGTGCCCAATTCAATTCTTTGTTATCAACAATCATGCCACAATAATGTGGACCGTAAGATGACCATATAATTATCAGTATACATAACCATAACGCCTGTTGGTTTATAGTAGCTTGTATCTATAGATCTATGCAGAGAAATCATATTGAAGTCAATTATTTACATGACTGTTATCTTTGCCTGTTAAAAAACAATGGGAGGCGATTTTAATTAATTGTCTTTCATCTTGATCCCCGCACATGATGTTTCATGTTTTGAAACAATGTTTGAAGTACTTGAAATTAATGGACAGACTAATACAGCATGTACGCTCACAAGTAATATTCACACAGTGTCTCTACAGTGATATTATTATATCTAAGCAGTGATCACAAGGTTATTATCATGTTGCATTAACCTCCTCATTTACTAGGAATGAATAAAAATTTTAAAGATTTCTGCATAAACCTTGCTCGTACAAATTGACCCTCGTGTTAAATTTGTGGTATGTTCTTGATTGATACAAATGTCCCTCTCGTATTGTCTACGATAAAAACTCAATGACTTTCTGCAATTAACTATTTCCCAAAAAAACAAGGCCCCACATCAAATACGATCGTCATATCCTCGCAAAGTTCGAAGGGCGAACAAAGAAGCTTAGAACAATATATGTTGATCACAGTGCCTTCCCTGTTATCCATATGATTCAATCAGCTTCATTTTAAATATGAACTGTGAACATATAAAGTTAAAAGACGAACAATAGTTTCTATGCATATCACATAAACCTGGTTCCTTATATACACATTCCAAAATACCATTTTCGTTTGATCATTTTATTTGTATTACGTTATGAAAGATTCGAAAGAAATAAATGAGGTTCATAGTAAAATCTTCACGCTTCTAATTACTTGTTGTATTCAGTATACGGGTGTAAACGAGTTTCAAACCACACAAAATCTAAGATCTTGAACTCAGTCTGTGTAATGTAGTTGATATTATCAGGAAATCGAAACTTTTTGGCAGGAAGAAGATGAGATGTTGACCACATTTACTGAATACTGTAGCCCAGATATCTTTATCTTCAGAGCAGATATGGCCTGTTGCTTGGAGCACATGCTTTTCCGTGGCAAATGACATACACTATCGTACACTTTAAATAAGAGTCTAGGTTAGATGTCAATAACTACCCCTTGATTAATTTTCACTTTGCCGTATCTACACCTGGGGAGGAGATTGTTCAAGTAGTATTCATTATTTAGATAGCCAACCACTGACTGTCTATATTTAATCATGGGATCTCATTTAGAGGCTTGAATAAACTGTCACCAAGAAAATTCTTATTACGTGATAGACAATAGAAATGAAGAAGAGTTAGTCGTCACTCCACATTTTAACTCTACTAAAGCGCATGATGAGCCTCTATAGCATTCGGTATAACAAGTAAAATAACATATAAAGCTCGAGCAATCTATATAAAGATAAAACAGATATTTTCGATCATTGAACTGCATTGTTTGACTTATGCTTGAGAAACCAACATAAAATCATTCTGTTTATTTATTTTAACATTCTGTCCGTTGATTTGAGTCTTTTTGCGACTAACTGTCCACTGATCACTGTATATCTACAACCTTTGTATGAGAGTTTGCTTAGTGATTAGTTACGTTTTACATACTGATGTAATATTTGCTAACTTCTTTCACTACAAAACAACTATACTTAGTCCACTGTTTATGTTTGCTTTTCTCTGCATCTCGTCTTTTTTGATATTTCATTCCGGCATCTTTGTATAAATGTCATTTAGAGACGGTTAGCATAAATGTATCAGATGATTTAAGTATCTTGCAGTTAACGGTAGGAAGTGATTCCATAATGAAGTAAAACATTCTAAGTACTCCAAGTCGCCTTAATACAAGCATATTACAAGAACATCGCCACCACTTTTTTAAGGCAGCCCTCGAAAGACTGAAAGTTAAAGATCAAACAACCAGGTATGCTTTCACTTCTTATTAAGAGTTCCCCACATTTAGAATGCCTCCCAGCAGAAGTGACCATAGCCCATTCATTGGGCAGCTTGAAGAGTAGACTAGCCACGTCTGATACATGTCTCACAATTTACTGAGGTTATTTTCACCGTATATTAGTGACTACTTCCTTTCTTTCTTATTATCATTTCCATTTTCTTTCGGTCCCGTCTTCCTACTCATTACCATTCAAATAACTCATTGTTGAAACAGTCATCTTCTCTCAGCACTGCGATTAACACTCTAATTTTCAAATTAAGACCAACCAACATCCTGCCCGGTGGTGGCTGCTGGTATCGGGACCCTCACTGTTTTAGGACAAACGCGCTCACCAAACTTCAACATCAACAAATAACCAACACAACGACTAGAATTAATCCAGTCGAGTGGCTAGACTACCACCCATTAGACATTACAGAATACCCAGAACTGCATCGCAGATACAAGAGGCGAGAAAAAATAAACTAACTGCCTTATTGAAGCTCGTGACATATATATTATGTGGTGGGTTTAGAAATTATGCGTTTTTAGTTTTGTCTAATATGTGAACCAACTCTATTGTTTTCGACCACCTTAAAGTGTCGTAACACAGCGATGAAGAAATGAACCAGTTCATGAGTGGTTTATAATCATGTTAGGAGTCTCCAGCTTTTGCATTCCATCTTCGTAGTTAGCATGTCCTTCACTGATACTGTCCACACTCGCATCCTACATAACACATGAAATGCGTCACATGATAAGGTAGTTGGCGAGTAAACCAACGTGGCTCACATTGTTAATAATTCAGGGGTCGAAGAACAAACACCCTTTTTAATCGGTTTGTTAAAGTGTGCTGCTCATACATGTGACCTTGAATGGGACGCTTAGGCAATACAAAATCATGACAACGTAATGGAGTTTGGATCTGTCCTGGACAAGGTTTTGAAAGAAGAAATCACAGTCATATATGGCAAAAAAGCCAGAGAATTACATGTAGTCGGGCAAAACCAGTTGTATTTATTGCTTACACAATCATATTATTAAGTTTTTCAAGGAATGCAACAGAAGCTGACTCATTCAAAAGTTTTGGCAGTTTTTTGGATATACTGGGCGAACGTTCGGCAAAAGTAAATACATTCATAACTCATTTTAAAAGGCTCAAATGTTACCCGGACCTGTGACGTCCTATACGAAGTTCAAGGATTCGAACCAGACAATTTTTTTATTATCTGACATTCCTTCAAAAAAGTGCGTGAAATTTATCATAAATTTTCGTTTAGAATTTTGGGTTTCTTAAAAACAGGTAGAAAGCGTCTTTTCGTGCATGACAGAAGAGGGGTTTGTGTCGAATGCGTTCCTTTATGTGTTTTGGATTTCTACGTACATGAAGCACATCAGAGGAAAGGTTGTGGGAAAAAGTTATTTGACTTTATGCTTAAAGTAAGTGTTCCAGCGGTGAGTTGTCGCATTTCGTCTGTGGTGTTATCTTGTTTTGGCGCAATCATGTTGACTGTACCAATCATCACGTGTGTTCAAATTTCCCTCCTTTTGTGTAGTAATTCTTCGTATTGAGGTCAAAGTTCTCTTCATCAAAGCAGAGCTAGGCTTTCGATAAAGTGGTGATAGATTGTTACTGAGTTTTTTTACCTCATAGAGATGTGTGACCCTATATAAATCAACACATCTATGTTCAATTCAATTTACAATATGTATTCTTGCTTAACAATAACAGTGTTTTTAAAAGTTCGCTCGTGAGCTTTCCTCGTAGTCCCACATGCATGTAGTAAAAGCGAAGAACCAGTAATTTCCGGTTTATATGTAGCACTCACCAACGCTTACTTGATGTAGAAGTGACCTTATTATTTATTGTAAAATGTTTAGTGATTTCGCCGCGGTTGTCCTATTTGTGATTCCTTATCCTAGTAGGTTTTGTTTTATTCACTTTTTCGTATATTTTATGCAACTGTCTTATTTTCTTAACCTTTGGCTGTGCTATTGATCGGCCTTTTTTGTAGTAATTAATAGTTTGAGTCTCTTTATGCATCTGTTAATTGATGATTGACCTGGATTTCATGTTTCCAGAACTTCCTTGATTTTACTGTAGTTCACTGAATCCAGAGTATGACATTTTATAATGAGAGCTCGTGTTCATAGTTGTCTGTATGCTTTAGGAATCGTTGTTGACATACCGTGTCTTACTAAAAATTTCTGTTTGTTTATTTGTAAAACAAGCGAAACATCCACTTTATCCAACGTAATGTTTATCATAGTCTATGAAATTCAATACTTAGTTGATATTGAACCTATCTCAATTAGCTGTTATCTCCGAGTTGAATACAATGTAGCAGTGTGATTGTGCTGAGTTGTAAAATCAACCAAGTAAAGCAGTCATTTTGAACGCAAAAACAATCAAAACAAATTTCTCAAGATCAACCAGTCTCAAACAAGGAGATTGGAACAAACTGATTTAACACTTGTGTTACAATCACGAATATCAACCATTTATGAAGTAATTACTCATGGTGTTATCTAGAATGCAAGCTTAGGCTCTTAAAGCAAGTGATACAGCTCAGGTAACTCATAAAAATCTAGAGTTTCACCGCTACACATTGTCATTGTTTAGTCATATTATTTAAAAATCTAAGCTCTATAGTCTAGGCTTCTTGGATGCTTTATGCTTGTAGTTAGGAGTCCTATCACTAAAAATTAACGATGATGAAGGTAACGTGATGTGTAATGTGTGTAGCGTACAAATTAAAGTCATCAGTTTAGTAATCTTGGATGTAAGAAATAAAGATAAAAATTGTGCTATTCAGAACTTAGTTTACATCCTTGGCATGAACAATATATATCAAGGAAGATCCAGAGACTAAGGATAAAAATTAGTTGAGCGAGTAACTCGTCCTTTGTGATTATGAAAGTTTGTCTTACACACTAGAATATCTCATTTTACGACAGTCAGTCTTTGGTTCTAATCAATAAGATGATATACGGTATCACATTTAATTTAACTACACCGGTCTTTAGTATATACTTATATGTGTAATGGAAATGTAAGTCTGACACACTTTGAGGGCTGCTGATGTAAATGAAGTATCTTTTCACTTTGATTCTCGAATATGTTTAACACTGTGTACACAACTCTTCCTTATAAATCTTTCAAAGTGTCCTGAAAAGCTATAACTAAAGTTTTCAAATATTTAGGTTGTATACTTGTGAATTTTTGAAGAACGTTTAGTTGTAAATACCAAAAAGGTATGGATACCTTTTTTTCTTATCTACATCTTGAAAGCGGGCATTTCACTTTGTTCAGTCAACACTTTTCTGTCAGATGACTGTACATCATGAAATAACTCTTTTGTTGCCTAGTTATGTATTCAGTGTTCCGCTTTGCCTATTGTCAGCTTTAGCTCTTATTCTTAGGTTTATGGAATAATTAGCTTAGACCATGAACGTAAATTTCATCAGACACATGTAGATCTATTCTGTTTTAAATCATTTTAAGTGCTCTAAACGTTGTTTATCAAATGTAATCATCTTTTATGAAGATAAAAACTATGACTTATCTTTGCTTTACAAACTTTTTGTTATATGCCAATGAAATTATTGATTGGTAACTGTTGAAATCTATTTCTGAACAAATATTATGCGCATGTTTTTATTGTATAATTGTTAACTAACTATACTATGTATATTCATGTTTCGCTTATTATAAGCTTTATTTTGTTCTATGAATTATTATTATACGATTTACCGTTCTTGAGTTATGCCCAGTCTATTAATTACAGTTCCCTACATTCACAGCGACTTTTGACTAGATCTTGGTACAAATAATGTTTTCTATTTTATGTTACGATGTAGTCTGTTTGGTTGGCGTATACAAGCGCAGTATGTTTGAAATAAATTATTCATATCGCAGAGGCTGAGATTGGTGTTCTGATCTCAACACGCAGGAAGAAGAACCGATAAAGACTCTAGAGTGATTGTACTTGTTTTATACGTCATTAGTTTGGTCGATAGGTCATTGTTCTCTGATTGGCGGTATCATTAAGTTATATATTAATAAGGTACAAGGCGACAAGCTATGATATTAACATTGTTAGTATTTCGAATTTAGGCGTGGTTTACAATTTCGTGTTATTGACTACATTTATTTATGAAGTAACAAAATATAATTCACATTAGCTGAATGTCTATGACCCTGTGTAATGTGATACTGAGGACATTTAAAATCATATTTACATGAATAACTTTAGAAAATTTATAAACACGTCTATCAGATACATATCTATATACATACATTTAATTACATGAATGTATAAATTAAAAACGTCTAATCTGTATACGATGTGATATTCTTGCATTCTGTAATCTCTCATGAATATCATGATCATTATTTTTCAATAACTTAAAAAAGTGCTATATCTTGTGACTTTGTACCCTATTAATATATAACGTAATGATATCGCCAATTGGAGAACAGTGACCTATCGACCATACCAATAACAAATAAACCCGTACTAGCAGTCTAGATTCCTTATTGGTCCGTCTTCCTGTCTAGCCTTCATGCCTGTTAAGTCTAGAACACCAATCTTAGCCTCTATGATATGACTCATTTATTTCAAACATACTGGGTTTATATACACCAACTAAACAGACCACATCGTACCATAAAATAGAAAACAATATTTGTACCATGATGTAGCCAAAAGTCTCTGTGAATGTAAGGGACTGCAATAATAGACTGGGTATAACTCAAGAACAGCAAATTGTATAATAACAATTCATAGATTAAAATAAAGCTCATAATGATAGAAACACGAATATGAATAGTTTAATTATTTAACAATTATACGATAGAAATTTATGCATAGTAATGGTCCATAAATAAAATCCAAAAGTTATCATTCATTATACTTATTGGGATATAACAGTTAATAGGCTAATTAGTGGGTTTACGTTCATCTTTCATTTCAATCTCTGGAATAATATGTTATATAATTTTAAATCTATTCAAGTTTATCTTAATCTTTATAATTTATATAAACTATATTATGCCAGAGACAATGTTATACTAATTACATACTAAGACTATACTTTGGAATATAAAAATGTTATTAATATCCCTAAAAAGATTGAATATCATTTTGTCTATAAACATAAGTTATTGAATATGCTAAATAGAAACTAAATGATAAGTGTATTACATCAAATGACCTTATTAATAATCTTTATTATACATAGGAACATTTGTAAAAATGAAAAATAAACAAACAAACAAACAAACAAACAAACAAATAAACAAAGAAGTAAAATTGTTTAACTGGATTGAAACTTTATTGATTTATTGATTTGTTTGTATATCATCTAATTTCAAGTGAATATTTCTTACAGATACTTACTTACATTTATATCATTTATCTGAATACTTTAAAGGAACAAATTAAGTTACATTAAAGATAAACTAATATCACTGACTACTTCAATTTGAAGATCTATAATTGAAACATCTACGTTATAGGATATAACTTCAATGAAATCATTCTATTAAAATGTATATATATATATATATATATATATATATATATATATATATATATATATTCTACTATCTTAGAATTTAGCCTCTATATTCAAAAGTTTTAATAAAAGATTATTGTGATCTGTGAATGGAACGATGAATGATCATAATTGATATTACTTTTATTAGTAGTTTATGGTGGAGAATCTAACTTGAATGATTCTCTTGGTGATATGTATACTTAAACTAATCTCATTATGTAAGGGTAGTATTTAAATGCTCGATATAAAATGTTGTTAGAAGTTTAGATTTCATATATTGACATAGTGGCAAATAACAACAAGAACTAAATCACTTATAGCTATATGTATGATAAAGGTATACGAACGATAGATGAACGTTGATTACATATGAATACTTACAATATAACTAAATAACATGAAAACTATACATGCACAGCTCATATTAATTCATGAGACGAATGTAAATTTAATAAGGTATTCATTAAATATTTACATTTCGATGATTTTATATTACTTAAGCTATACAATCTAATTTATCGTTAATCCTATTTACTAAAATGGGTAGTCTATAGTGAAATAGAATGGTGTTAAATATTTAAAAAGTTTTAAAGTAATGGCTTGTTATGGATTGTTTATGAAACTGGGATATGTAAAAGAAGCCATGCAATGGTAGGCTAGGGAGAAGTGTTAACATAAAGATAATTGGTTCACTTGACAGCTATTATTAACGTTTCGGACTCATCAACCGGATGTACCTGCGTCCCAGAGTTGGTATTCACTCCAACACTCGAACCCGGTACCGTCCGTTATGGACGCTATGGCCTTATCCATATAATTACTGAGTCCTGACAGCCAGTAACTTGTGCAATGGGGTTAAGTTTTAATCTTTCCATAGATTTTTAGGACTGAAATTGTGACTTAAGACAATACCAAGGCAATCTGCACAGGATGCACATATGACAATAAGAGACTGATCAATTTCAGTGCTAACACATCAATGGGGAGATTGAAACAAACGATACAAAAAAGAATAGTTAAAAGTTATAATAATGGCTAATTATTAATTGTGAAAATAATTGTAGAGGAGTAGGAATAATAATTTAATGAAACAAGAGGTTGAAGAAGAGTGACAAGGAATGTTCAGACCATAGAATAATGAGGAATAAAACATAATGTTTTGTGTACACAAAAGTTAGGCTTAAACAAGTGGATAGCAATGACCTCTTCTGTATGGTTGATTTTGAAGAGCGATAAAAGGTGACAAATTCATTAAATGTATGCAGTGTGGTTTCAGTCATGTGATATGTCATAGTATAGGTTATTTTAAACAAATGATTAAATCAAGGACAGTTCATCGTCACATTGAATTGAGTCATCGTGTGGTATGTGCTACTTGATGTCGATTGATATAAGTAGTATTGTAGTGGACAGAAAACACCAGTGGGGACAAACCAATGTATTTAACAACAAATTACAGAGCTAGTTAGTAAAATCAAACAACCATATATTGAATCGTTAATTTGCACATTGTTCATCAATTGTCTCAAATCACTCAGAATCCCCTTGTTCTTGAATTTTCATACAAATTGCATTCTGTCTTCATTCTTTATTGTTCAATCTTCTTATCTCTCTGCCGCCAGACATTCTGTTCAGTGCTCACGTCATATACTACTTATGTCTACATAAGTAGCACACACCACAGTATGTATCATCAATCGAAAGTGAAATATCTAGCGTCAGAAGGTTAAGAAGGTCAAAGAGAAGAGAATGATAATAGAGAATGATTGATGTGGAGACGAAAGGACAATGAAGTTTGAAATGATTGATTGACATTTTGCAAATGACGTATTTACTGTATAGTTCTCAGATTTTACTAAGATATTCTGTAATGTCTGTCCCTATTTCTTGGCGTACTGTGTTGTTTAGTCTTCCTCTTCGCCTTTAGCCCTGAGGATTACAAGTGATGAGTGCTTGCGTTGTGACGCAGTTGTGTACTTTTCTAAATGTGTTCTCGTTCACCACAATATATATTTATTTTAAATACTTTCATTTCACTGTACTGAGTTATAGTATTTTGAATAAAACGTATAATTTGTTAATACACTACCCTATCTGTTGTGATTTTAAACTCAGCTTTTTATCATATGATTTATTCGCCAATCGAAATACGAAATATACAATCTTAGTAATGTGCTGAACCAATGTCATTCGACTGTTATGAACAGTCTAGCGTCTTTATTGATCCATTGTTCTCCTAGCCCTTTCAGTTGAATCCAAAACATCAATACCAGCATCCACTACATGAATCACTGACTTCAAACATACTGTGTTTATATACCAGCGAAACAGAACACATCACACTATAAAATAGGAAATAACATTTATACAAGATCAAGCCAAAATGTGGCTGTGAACGTGGGAGACTGCAATTATCAATAAACTGAGCATAGTTTAAGAACAGTAAATCGTATAATATTGATCTATAGATCAAAATGAAGCTTATAATAAGAGGAATATAGATAGATATACATAATTTAGTTACTGAACAGTTATACAATAATTTCAATTGACTCATAATCTCAACTAACGAAATTACTACAATTTTCACAAAACCTCTTCTGATACTAATCAACATATGATCACTAGTGACTGGATTCAAGATGTGTATTCTAGAGTTTTAGTGAGAAGCAACGACAAGTGCACTTGAACCAGGTCAGTTGTGAGATAGTAACTCATTGATGACAATCGAGGATATGTCGCTCAATTTCGTGAATTAGTTGAAGTTAGACAATAACAGTATTGAATACCGAATTACTGGTCTAATGGTTAAGCATTCTTACGCGAGACTGATAGGTTCTGGATTCTAATCTCGCGAGATGGGATCGTAGATGCGTACTGCTACAGAGGAGTTCCACGGCCATCCAACAGTTTCAAGTTTTCCATGGTTGTCTAGCTTCAATTGACTCATGATCTCAACTATATATGTATATTCGTCCATTCATAGCTGTCAGAAGTTACGTAGAGATTAATCTTCGAAACCTCCCCCTCTTTATTTCGTTACATTTTTTCCTCACCCCTTTATTTTCCAAATTATTTTCTTATTCGTTTTTTCAGAATGAAAATATTAATCCTAATTGTTTGGCAATTGATTATCCTTCTAAAAAAATGTTACAATTTTTACATAAACATTATCAATTAAAAAATCCAATTTTTTCATCAAATAATTTTGTTGTTTATTCAAAATTTTTTGATCAAATTTTTTATGATTCATTTAATATTGAACAACATTCTATTATTCCATCTAAATTATCATCCATACAAATTTGGGATACAGAAGGTTTAATCAATAAAAAAAAAATGAATTCAATGATGAACCGATCAAATTATTATCATCCCTATTATAATCATAATCAATTATGTAATAATAATAATAATAATAGTAATGATAATAATAATAATAATCACTATGACAATACAATAGCCATGGATGAACAACCAAGGATAGATGATCACACTCATTCATCTGGATATATTCATAAGAAAACATTAAATAATCAACAAGTTAATGAATTAAATACAAATATCAATGATGAATTACCTATACCTATGACAAATATGAAGTTATGTAATAATAGTAATAATAATAATAATAATAATAATAATAATAATAATAGTACATTGACAAGTGTTTATGATGCATCTAAAGCAGACTTTGGATATACTAAATTAAAACAAGATCATAATGAGGTAAAACCTATGGATCAGCATCATAACAAAGTGAAGACATTTGGACTATTACATAATGTATATGATAATGTTAATAAGTAAGTATTACTTAGAAATTATATATGTTAAATAATATCGGTGATGTCATAACTTGTGGTTTTATAACCTTGGTTCTTTGTTTTTCACCCCATCTCCATTTGTTATAACTTATGCCCTGTGTCTTATTAATATAGAACGTAATCATACTGCCAATTAGAGAACAGTGATTTATCGACCGAACCAATGACAAGTAAACCTGTAACAGCAGTCTAGAGTACTTATTGGTCCCTCTTCCTGTCTAGCCTTCCTGCCTGTTAAGTCTAGAACACCAATCTCAGCCTCTGTGATATGAATCATTTATTTCAAACATACTGGGTTTATATACCGACCAAATAGACCACATTGTATCATAAAATGGAAAATAACATTTGCTCAAGATCTAGACAAAAGTGGCTGTAAATGTGGGAGATAGTAATTGATAGACTGATAAATCGTATAACAATAATCCAAAGGTCAAAATAAAGTTTATGATAATAGGAACATGAATATGTATAGTTTAGTTACTAAACAATTATACGATAAAAATATACGTATAGTATTCGTTCATAAATAGATCCCAACAATTACCATTCATTATACTCATCGGGATATAACAGGTGAGACTATAATTTATGGACAATCTTTGAGCGACTCTAGAGTGATACTGCGAGTGTCCACCTAATAACTAAGACCAAATAAGGGTTATAAATCTGTGTGGGGAAATAAATTTATGATTTACAGTTGATCGTAATGGTTAGGTTTTAGATTTAGGGTTTGCATTCCCGAACTGACATCAGTTAAAATGTCTAGACGCTATTTGAACGAATGGGTGAGTGAATTTCGCGCCAAAATCCAAGACCTGTTATCGTAAATCTGATTGGTTCGTCCATATATCATAGTCTTGGCATAATATCTTATACTGAAATAAAAGAAAAAAATGTATGTTATGGCAACTCACATGCAATTGAATTTGTTTACATTTGATTTGGTTAAGCCCTTTCATTAACTTATTTAAATATCAGAGTTATCCGTACAATAACAACTTATGCCAGTGTACCTTTATTATTATTGTTGCAATTGTATGAATATGTATGCTTGAGTATTGCTTACTGCCTATGCGTATATTCATTCTGCTAGCCTTATTATTAGTCACTTATTAATTGATTCGATGATCCATTCATTTCATTATGCATGTATATGTACATTTTAATCCTGTTCATCGACTCGGCGACTCGCTCATTCGACTCGCCCTCTAGCTTTTTGGCATTACTCTTTCATGCTTGCTTAGCGTACCTGTAAGTTTTGCTATTATTTTGATGCGATATTCTTATGAATTCCGATGAACATTTTGTCTATAAAATGTATGTTTTTTACTGACTATACTGTTTCCTATCAACATGGCTAAAACTAGAAGTTAGTGACTTCATGGAGTGATGCCACGTTTTAGTTTGGCCACTCTTAGTTTTCTTCCAACCATCCCCAACACTAGTCAGCATTATGCAAGCGTAGTAATTGGTGTTCAAGCATACGTAACACGTGACCCAACCATCTCAGTCAATGAATATTTACAACCTCATCAATTGATTTACCATCATTCCCTAATATTCTGAGTCTAACGTCACTATTACTTATCCAGTGATCCCAGTAGATGCGAGCAATATTTCTAAGTCATCTGTGGTCAAATACTTGTAGCTTACGAATATCTTCTATTCTTAATGACCACGTTTCGTAGAACAGAACAAACTGCTGCACAGTATAATCGTCCTTTAATTGATAGATAGATATCTCCATCCGGAGTTCACTAGTTATCAAACATATGAATATTGAAAAAGTAACATTTCGATCTTAACAACAAAATTTTCTGAAATGCTTTTTTATCTAAATATGTTCAAAGCATATAAGCAATAGTGAAGAGAAACATTCACATTGAAATAGTATATCATGTGGAAAATCATTAGTTTACCTCTATATTAGTGAATGAAACAAGTATACATTTTAATTGTGTATGATCAAAATCACATGTACAATCATGTTTATCAGTTGACTATTGAAAATATTACTTATATTTCTTTATAGTTGAATTCATGAGTCGGTGTAAGATAGACAACCATTAAAAACTTGGAAGAAATAGACGGCTGTTCCGTCCTAGTATGAGACTCCTCAACTGTGCGTCCATGGTCCCACATGCGAGGTTTGAACCCAAGATCTTCGATTTTGCACGTGAACGCTTAACCTCTAAACCACTGATCCAGCATTTGACGTTGTTAATGTCCAACTCCCATCGATCCATGAATGGTTGCGTAATCATTCATCCATTGTCTGAGGTAGATACTGGTTTTACCCGATACGGATTGGACTCCACTGGTATGGCTTATGTTTAGAACGCAAGCAGAAACTAAGTGTATTATACTAAATCAAGACTTTAAAATTTACTTCTTTTTTAAAGAAAGAGTTTAATGGAGTCATTATATAAAGATGCAGTTTTGTATGTTCATTGTGTAAAACAGTATGGATATATGATTAAGAATTGGAACTACACATCAGCTAGTATTTTAAATGGAATAATGCTGTAAAATACGTTTTATTTCTGATTGATGATCATTAATATTGGTGCTTCACCAACATATATACTTCGAATTCTAAGAAATTGGTAGTTTACAACCGTCATATTATGTAATCGGAAATGATGAGATGTAGTTATCAATGGAATCAAGAACGCATGTTTCATCCCATTTAGGATTTATCAGCTGAATGCACTTGCATTCCAGAGTTGATGTTCATTCTGGAAATCAAACCTCATTGTCTTTTACTTCAAATAGTAAATACATTTATCTGCTTAGCTACTGAGTCCCGATAGCTACTCACTTGTACAACAAGTATGTTATATTGTCAACTGAAAATTATTAGAAAAGCTAGTCTTGTCTAAGATACGATGATGTAGTGCTATCTGATAATATTAAATTAATCTTACTTTTTGAAGAGTCCGGATCACGAAAAGAAGTGAATTTCATTCACCTTTTAGTCACACCATTCTTCTTTCATTTATTACCGTTGTTGCTACCTTGACGTGGTGGTTGGGCTTGCCTATCGTGATGAACCAATCGAGCTATACTGGCTGGAACAATCTTTCATCAAGATCCTACCATGCCAGACAGGTCGGTTGAAGAACGATAAGACTAACAGCAGCAAACTCAAGGTCCAGAGGCGAAGTCGTACTACTGACTATACAGAGACGTGAAGGCAGTAAGGTGTTTCCTTCAGACAACCAACATAACGGCGATGCTGCCTCACCACGAGGAGGGGTGGGGTCAGGATAGGTTGACTCTAAAGACGCGCAACTCTCTCTATCCCACTGATGTCCATTTCCGGAGGCAAGGTACCGTCAAGTATGGAGCTAACACGAAAATTACTCACGAAAAGGTCGTATGTGACCCTTCGGCACAGCGGTCACGCTCTCAGGTTACTAAGACCAGCTCTAACCCAATTTCTTTTTAAGGCACCTCCGTAAAAAGCCTTCCACGGTGTGGGCAACAAGGAAGTGATAACCACCCTCTTACCCTCAACAGAACTCAAGACGACTGTTGTAATTCAAACTAGTGAACTATGGTGACAGTTTTTAGTTTGATGTTTATGTGAATGAGATAGGATATGTATCCATGAGTTTGTAGCACATCCTAGTTTCTCATTGTCCAATATATGTACAGCATTAAACATTTCCGCACATTTTCCTATTCATTTATAGTGGGTTAATGTTGCACAGAAAAGCATATTTCCATTAAAGATTTCATTTCAAGCTTTAACTTCCAACTTATCTGGGGTTTTTTCACCCAGTAAGTTGGAACGTGTTGCAGTAGTGTGGTTATAGAAGATGTATGGAGATAATTTTAGATGATTGAAATAAAATGGGGATGGTAGATCTCCAGAATTCACCTGATAAACGTCTTATTTTTGTAATTTTATCTCAAAAATTTGAATTTCTTGTTTTCGCGCCAAAAGCGCCAATTTTCACCTTCATATCGTATTTCCCACTTGTCAGGTCTTTAAATATCATTGGTTCGTTGTCTGTACTTTGTGTTGTTTTTCAAAGACATTTTCATGCTGCATATATATACGCTTGAGTTGGGTTTGTTATTGTGTTTCGTGTGTCTGTCTGCTTGTGGAATACATTCTCCCTCTTCTGACCTGAACTTCTCCCTCTAGTAAGCGTGGCTGGGATGCATCGGAATGGTTAGCTTATTTGGTCATAGTGTCTCTATGACTTCGTTCCGTTCTCAGATTTAGGTAATCTCGTAATCTCTTCAAATATTGGATAAGGTTGGCTAACCTTATACATGATTTAGTGATCATAACCTTACTAATACCTACTGTCTTCATTTAATAAGAAATTTATTTTCCAAGTTAATAAATAAGATCATTTTCCCCTTTGATTATAAATCTTACTTGACAAATATCTTTTTCTATATTGTTATCTTACTTGAGAGATTACTAAATGTATTACTACGTATTACTGAATAGTTTTCCATTGATAATAGTAGACTAAAAGTAAGACCATAGGTGAATGATACAGATTTCTAAGCTGGAATACACTATCTATTAGATAATTGAGAATACAAACTTATCAATGAATAGTAATTTGAATCTCGCCGGGGGGGGCGGGATTGTGGATGCGCACCATCAGAGAGGAGTCGCACAATAGGACGAAACGGCCGTCCAGCGCTTTCAGGTTTTTCATGATGCTCTAGCTTCAATTAACTCATGATCTCAACTATTAAAATTACTATAATATTCATAAGATCCCTCTCTAATTAATTTATATATTTAATTTCAGATCTACAATACAAAAAAAATCAAATAGTTCCATTATGACTAATTCAGAACTGTTCAATTATCGTTCATTTGAATTACAAAATCGTTCGAAGCAAACTTATTCTTATATAAATGCTGTACGTAATCATAACTGTCATACAAGATTATGGTAACTTGCTTGGTATGTTATTAATTCTTTGTTTCATCATGTGTAACTATTATATAATTTTTATGAAAGCATATCTTATAATGAATTGTTATCATTTGAACAAGAGGATTGGAAGCCAGTTCCATTGTATATAATCACAAATTGTCAACATCTTTGAATGAATTTGAATTTGAAAGTGTGAGCTTTAATCATCTATTGTCAAGTCCTGATAAGAAACAGTTATACTTGACTGATCACTAAGTGATGACCAGTTTCATGTTTCATAAAGGGGTTTTGTCAATATTATAGTAATTTAATAGTTGAATTCATCAGTCATTTAAAGCGTACTGCTGAGGAGTAGTCCTACACTAGGATGAAACGACCGTCTAATGCTTTCAGATTTTTCATGTTGATCTAGTTTCATGTTTGTCCAGTTCTCTAGTAGATCTTTTTCAAATGTTCATAGTAAGATTTCGTGAAATTTATCTTGTGTTATTTCACTGGTTCCCATGACTTTTTGACTAAAATGTTTGTTTATGAGATGAATCTACATGGTATTTTACCTATTTTCACTTATTCATTGCATTCAATCTATGATAAATAATGCGTAAACCTGTGTTAGCTACTCGTAAGTAGTATGTAACTAAAAACGAAAAAAAATACTTTCGAAAAAGTATAGTTGCTTGGATTATTTGTTTTGTTGGTGGAATGAATTCGCACTATTACTGATTAACAAGTATTGAAGTATGCTGGCAGTTGAATTTTAATCCGCTTGTTTCAAGAATGGTATAGTCAAATCAGCTATAGAATGAAAGTACATCCAACTGACGGGTCACAAATTGGAAGATGTTTGAGTCTTGGATTCCACTGCTAGCCATTATTCACTTCTGTTTATAATGACTGTGACCTATAGCAATATCCACGGAATCCTCACAGGATACAGAACTTTCTGTAAGTGACTGATCAACTGGAATCTTAAATGTCAATTGAAAGATTCAAACAACTAATACAATGGGAATTATGATAATCATAGTCTCCACAAACCTCCGGTAAGAATAACTAATGTTTCAAAATAATCGTTGAAAATGTTTCGATGCTTTAAGTGATTGTAAACCAATCTAACCTCATATCTTACAGCATTCAGGTACTTTTTCTGCACATTTTCATCATATAGTTAGTCAGAAGAATTCATTCTTCCAAAATATCTGTGTGTCATCTTACTCATTTCGGATATCTCTTCCTATTTGTTGACATGCTTAAATCAATTTCAAGCAAATGAACAGTTGGTGTACTTATCCTTTTTACTGTACTTATGATGAATAATCGGTAACCGTATTACTGAACGTATTGAAATACTTGCAAATTATTAATACCTAACATATTCTTGTAATCACGGTGGCCAAGTACATATTCCTAATTTTACCGTGACTTTTAAAAGCTCTTGTAAAGATTCCAAGTTAGAGCTTGCCTCATGATGCAGTTTGATGATTTCCGTAATTTATGTCCTACCCCCTTCCAGCATCTTCTCCTAATTTCCTCTTCAGATGGAAGCTGGTTTGTTGCCTCTCAAAGTATGTTGTTGCTGATAGAATCCGGTCAACGAACATTCAGTATATTTCGTAGACAATTGTTTATAAATAGTTGTACCTTTTTGATTTTTATTGTGGTAGTTACCGAAGTTACTGCTCCGTACATTAGAACTGTTTTGACATTCGTATTGAAGATTGCGACTTTGATATTTGTTGACAGTTGTTTTGAGTTTCATATGTTCTTTAATTGTAGAAATGCTGCCCTTGCTTTGCCAATCCTCACCTTTATATTTGCATCAAATTCTCCTTGTTCATCGATGTTGCTGACCAGGTACATGAAAGTTTCCACCTCTTCCAGAAATTCTCAATCAAGTGTGATTGTGTTGGAGTTATCTGTGTTGTATTTGAGGATCTTAATTTTTCTCTTGTGTATGTTGAGGCCTACTTCTGCAGAGCCTGCTGCTATACTATCTGTCTTCGCCTACATTTATTCGTGTGTATGGGACAGAAGGGTTAGGTTGTCTGTGAAGCCCAAATCATCTAGTTGCATTCAACTTGTTCATTGTATACTCTATAATTATGATAACAATAATGGAGTTTATTCATTGTTTTATTGTAGTTACTACCTGTTAACAGAGATTATTCTAAATATTTCTATGAAAGTAACTATTGCTCAAGTTACTTTTTATTGTATATTTTTTCTTTGATTCAGAGCCGAAACAATGTCTATATATATATATTCATACAAATGATTGACGGTGTTACGTAATCCAGAGTGACACTGACATTTATAAAATGAAGAAAATTCCAGATTTATTGACAAACTTCAATAGTCATTCATTGAATCACGGTTAAACAATCACACAATACTTTATACTTGATATTAATTCAATAACTTCACTTATCTCTTTATATCTTCTGATATTTGTGATCGAATTCAGTTGAATATCATCATTACTACCTGTTTAATCTTCTGAATTCTTCATGTCCCTTTCTTTTTTCTCCTTCCAAATTTACTTCACTGGATTATACTCCTTGAATAACAACTTCAAACCCTGATCTTTCCGATTACTGCTTATACTTTTATTACTTTTACCACTATGGGATTTAAATCGACAATTGTATCTGTGTGCTAATGTGGTATGGCAATTCGAACTGATGTACATACGTACGAAGTTCTAAGTTGTTGCTGACTGACTGTCTATCTGTAAATAGAACTTCATTAATTAATGTAATTGATCTGTGGTTTGTTTTTTTAAAAAAGGAAAAACTTTCTTCAGTTTACCCGCTACTTTTCTATACTGTCAAATCAATATTTTTACTTTTTCCATTCCATTTTGATTCAATTTTTGCTTTTTTTTCGATGTTAAATGGTTATTATTATGATTATTATTGTTACTAGTATAACCTTTGTTTCTATCATCATTTTCCTTAGAATTTGTACATCAGAGAAGGGTGAGTTTTCAATGCCTTTGTCTTAAAAAATTAAGTGATTCCTGTTGTGACTTTAAGACTGGCTTGTTATCACGTGATTTGTTTGCCAATCGAAATATGATTTGTTCAATCATAGTACTGTGCTAGACTAATGGTGTTCGACTAGTATGAGCAGTCTAGCGTCTTTATTGACCCATTGTTCTCCTAGCCCTTTCAGTTGAATCCAGAACATCAATACCAGCATCCACTACATGAATTACTGACTTCAAACATACTGTGTTTATATACCAGTGAAACAGAACACATCACACTATAAAATCGGGAATAATATTTATACAAGATCAAGCCAAAATGTGTCTGTGAACGTGGGAGACTGTAATCATCAATAAACTGAGCATAATTTAAGAACAGTAAATCGTATAATAATAATAATCTATAGGTTAAAATTAAGCTTATAATAAGAGGAATATAGATAGATATACATAATTTCTTCAGATCCGCTGGCCGGACACTATTAACAGATGTCTACGCAAAATACTTCGGATCGGTTGGCCAGACACTATTAGCAACAACCTACTATGGGAGAGAACAAATCAGATCCCAGTGGAGGAAGAAATCAGGAAGAAGCGCAGGAAGTGGATAGGACACACTTTGAGGAAAGCACCGAACTGCGTCACAAGACAAGCGCTCATATGGAATCCTCAAGGTCGAAGGAGGAGAGGAAGACCAAAGAATACATTACGTCGGGAAATGGAGATAGATATGAGAAAAATGAACAAGAATTGGATGGAACTAGAAAAGAAGGCCCAGGACAGAGTGGGTTGGAGAATGCTGGTCGGCGGCCTATGCTCCATTGGGAGTAACAGGCGTAAGTAAGTAAGTACATAATTTAGTTACTGAACAGTTATACATTAAGAATATTTATCGAATATTGGTCCATTAATAGGTCTCAGAAGTTACCCGTTATTTCATCGTTGCTAGGATATAACAATTATTGATTAAGAAAATTGTTTTTTTTTTGTGTGTGTTTAAACTGGATATAATACTTTGGACTTATGATATTGTAATGAACAGAACACGGGTGGGGAACAATCGAATATATTCGATAAAACGTTACAGAACTAGTTAGTAAAATCTAACAACCATATAGTAAAGGCTCAACTTGCAAAATGACCATCAATTGTCTCAAAATAGCTTAAACTTCCTTTGTTCTTGCATTTTCATACAAATTGCATTCTGTTTCCATTCTTTACTGTTCGATTCTCTTGGTTCTCTACTGCCAAACATCCTGTTCACGACTAACATCAATTACTACTTATGTAGCACACACTACAATATTACTATTGTGAATAAAAACTTTCGTCTAAATTTGATCGAATGGTTTCAAAGTACTACGGTGCCGAGTTGATGTGAGACATTAAAGAAGAAATATTGTATTTGTAAAATATCAGTGAATGAATTTGAAGTAAATCTAACGTTTTTATTACACCGGATTGTAGTAGTACCCTGACTTGATGGTCAGGGATTGGGTGTTATGACAAACTTGTCAACCTATATTTACTGGTAAATTTATTTCTTTAGGTCCTATTATAATAGACAGGTTAGTTGTAGAGCCATAAGACTAAAAACAACAAACTAATAATACGAAGACAAAGTCGTATTGTCCACTGTACAAGATCATGACAAAAGTAAGCTGTTTCTCGAAGACAACTAGGATTTACAATGATACAAACTTTTCATGACGGGGTGGGGAGTTGGAAGAAGTTGATACTAAAGATAATCCATATGATCTTTCCTATGGATTTTCATCTTCGACAGTAAAGCTTACTTATTTGAAAATATACATGAGAAAGCCATTCGTGACCAGCATCATATAGTTACCTCTTGAGCATTTCGAATAAACCCTCAAGTTTTCAAAACTATCCTGAACCCAGTTTCTCTAAGAGAAATGTCTTTTCATAATGTAGGCAACTGGATACTGACAAATTTCCGTTTACCGCGAAAAGTACTTGATGGTCGATTGATTTTTATTTCAATAAATTTCATTTCATGCATTAAGTTCGACTTTTATATCATGAGAATAGCGTGTCGAGTTCCATTTCATGAAGTTGTCTATTATAGAGCATTAACATTTCTGATTTGAACCCAGAATAGTTTGAATGAAATAATCCACAGCATCAGTAGTATATCATTAGAGATAAAAAATGGTGTATTAAACTTTCATTCAAGTTAAATAGTTAAGAAAACAAAAAACTTAAAAATTAAGGTAGTACATATTATAGAATAAAATAATGGGTGGAAAACATTGGGCGGGATCATAAATCATTACGTTCAATGAGATAAGTTTGTTTTATGAAGATTCTATAAACTGGATATACTCATATCCTATTAAATGAGTCATATCGACGGTAGTTTGAATGACTGAGTGGCATCGGCTAAAGAACTAAGAGTTTAATAGTTATTTCCATTTCTAATGTAAACACTGAACTAATAGGGAATATGATTTTAATATTAAGTTGAATTCAAGGATTTTATTTTTGTCAAAATCATTGTTCATTTATTAAGTGAAAATGCAAAATTTCAACTTCATTCTTGTTAGTATATAATGCATATATATATATTAGTGGCCTTTTATTTTGCCGATTTCAAATTGGACGATGTTGTCGATGGGCTCATCACTTTAGTGGTCCAGGATCTGACTCCAGTGAGATCGTTTCTGATTACTATTGAGATATACATATCGTCAATTCTCGTATATGAATTATCAACTTAGATCATGTTAATGAATAACGTAATTAAATAAGTCAAATACGAGAATGGATCTTTGAATGAGTATATTTTAAGCACCCGCTAATCTGGACAGGAAGTCAGAGGGATGAAGTAAACAGAAGAGAGAGGAGCAAAATGACGCGCAGTGAACAAGGCATGTGAGCCAACTCCATTTAACCAAGCGTTAATCAATATTTTTACTTACATAAAAATAAGCTACAGACATTTGGTGAGTAGGATATGATGTACAAATATATGCTCCCATATAAAAGCAGTCAGTGTTGATAAGCGGATAATTGACAAGGTCAAAACATGACTCAACAAGAACGAATAAATTGGCTTGTTCAGAAGCTAGAATAAGGTATATGGGCTTAACATATAAACCGACACATATTGTCAATAGGAATACACCATAATCTTGACTTAGTTTTACCGGGATGAAAACTTATTTTCTCATTGCACATATCCAGCCTCATATGGATCCTTGCTGAAATATAAGTGGTTTTTACGTAAATTTCGGAAGATCAGCACAAATCTTACTGCATGAATGCAATGTTCAATCTCAAGGGTACTATACATTTATATGTTGGGGTTAACTACAACTTGCTAACTCTGAATCGGGATCGCATACATATTTTTTTAGAATACTTAACGATTATTGATTACAAGATTGATTAATGAGATACTTAACAAAATGTAGTGAAGATCTATTGTAATATGATGTGTACTAATGATGTCAACAGACATAAATAGTATGTATCATGAATGGAAAGTGAAATGCCTAACGGCAGAACGTTAAGTAGATCGAAGGAAAGTGAACGAGAACAGAGAGCGATTGACATAGAAACGATAGAACAATGAATTCTGAGACGATTGACTGACATTTTGCTGCATGGCTTCCAGATTTTACTGAAACGTTCTGTAATTTCGTTTTCTAATACATTCGATTGTCTTCATTTGTGTTCTCGTTCACCACAGTAGTATTGTCTGCTAGGCCAATATAAATGTGATTTCTAACCTGAATTTTATTTATTAAAAATAACCTCAGTGGTATATCTGGCGATTAGTACTTTAGGTCTCTGTCATTATATCTGTCATGAATGAATTAGACCAAGAACATCATAGCGTCGGATAATAAGAACATCTGTAAATCTATAAGTATTAACCCTAGTAGTCAGAATGTCTCAGCATGGAATAATGCACCATGTTTCGCAACATTTTCTATTACTTTACATGTTGATGACGTTTTGGACTTCAGCAAACTGAATTTATATGTTTTGTCTTCTGTATAATACACTGAAGAAGTGATTTGAGGCGGAAATCTCTAGTTTACCAAATTATTTGATGTATGAGCATCATGAGACCGAGGGTCCTAGGTTCGATTTCTTGTAGCAGAACGATAGATCTACACAACTGAAATGTCTTTACTGAAATGAAATGGTTAGTGAGTGCTTCCTGGTTTTAATTGATTGTTGATCTGAAAAATGTGATGTAATTACGCTATACATTTCGAACAATCTGGTCACACATATACTTGTCAGTACAATTAAATGATGGTTCAAGTAAAAAAGGTAACAAAGGGGAGAGAGACATTTTTACATCGTATAGAAAGAAAAAGAAAGGATGTGTCGCTCGATTTCGAGGAATAGTTGAAGTTAGACATTAACACCGTTGGATGCCGGCTCAGTGGTTTATTGGTTAAGCGCTTGCACACGAGACCTATAGGTACTGGGTTCGAGCCTCGAGAGGCGAGATCATGGACACGCACTACTGAGGAGTCCCACAATAGAACGAAACGGACGTCCGGTGCTTCTAAGGTTTTCCATGGTGGTCATCCTTCGATTGACTTATGATCTCAATTATTGAAATAAGAAATTCTTGCATAATCCTAGGCTATAGAATGACTTAAGAATATCAGGGTAAATTCAAGGTTACGACAGATTGTTTCTGTGTATATGAGGGGGAGGGTTA